CTTGAAAAGAATTCTCATGAGCTATATAGACCACTGGACCAACTTAGCCTTTCCTGGCCAGGACCTGGGAGGGCCTGTAACCCCGCTGGGCTTCCTCCACCCTCCCTTTGTGTTCTTAGCACCATGAAAAACAAATCTGAAGCGACACCATCCAGGAGCACAGGGGAATTGCTTCCTCCCACCCCTCTCAGCTCCCATGACCCCAACTCCGGAGGCAACCATGGCCCATTTTTTGTATGTGTGAATCTCTAAAATTGGTTCTATAAACTGCATTTTTTTAACAGAACTAGCATCATTTTGCTTTCTTTCACTTAATATCCGATCAGGAATGTAACTATAGAATGGCCTCATACTTTTTAGTGGCTGTGTGATATTTGATTGTGGCATATCTGTAGTATGCATTCCTAGAAGCAAAATTGCTGGGTCAAAGGTGAGTGCACTTAAAATTTTGAATCTGTGTCTGCTGGTAGCCCCCCAGGGTTTTCCCCAGACTGTGAATGTCCTTTTCCCACCTTCCCTGACAGCATAGATGGGGCTCTGGCCTTTGCCAGTTGGCAGGTGAGAGACCATACCTGCTGGCACTCTCCTTGGCATTTCTCTGATGGGTAGACCAAGTGCATGTACATGTGTTATAGCACGTGTGTGCTCTTCTGTGTTCTCTGTCCTCCACCCACTTTGCGCTCCGCTTGTTCGTTTATCTGAGTCCTTTGTATATGAGGCACACATATTTGTCCCAATGTGTCATCTCTCTGGACTAGTAAATATTTCTCCTGCTGTGAAGAATTTTTAAAAAAGTTTTGCTTTATACTCAGACTCATAGTCTTAAATGGCTTTTGACTTTGTCTTAAATGTTGTACTCAACTGAAAAACACAAAAATGTTCCTTTTTTTTTTTTAATTAGTACTAATTTGAGCATTTGGGACTAAACTTTTCTGGTTACTATTTAAGTCATATCATTTTCCCCCTATTTTTTCCAATTGGTAATTTGAATATATGAAGCCTACTGATTTCTATAAACAGGATTTTCAATTAATTCTTTTGAAGTTTTCAAATAATCATCCTTATGAAAACAATTCTTATTTTATATTGTTCTAATTTTTGTTTGTGGTTTTCCTTGTCATTGATGATACCTCGAGAAAGAGGTTACTGGTGACACACAACATCCTTGTCCCCTGTTCTAGGGGCAGCTTTTCCAGTGCATATCCATTCACTTCATGATACTGGCTTGAGGTAAGATGCTTTTGAGGTGCTGAGTATCTATCTGTTCTTTTTATAAGCAAATATGAAGTATATCCTTACTTTACAGTTTTCTTGCCCATTTCCATCTTTATTGGCCCAGCTATACCTCATTCCCCTGCAGGAACGGGTTGTTATTTATTGAACCAATCTCCAATTTAGAGACACTTAGTTGATTTCACAGTTTTTTACTACAAAACAATGAGTGTGAGTGCCACTATATCTGTAGGATAAATTGCTAGGTTAGGGACCCCAAAATGCAATTATATTTTGAAAATAAAGATTGTAACCTACATGACCAGTTACACACATACACATACCAAACTTGGAAACTGAAAATGACCCAGAGTCAGACCTCAGCAGGGAAACCAATACCAAACTTCTTCTTGAAGTGTCTAAACAACTGAGCATCCGTAAAGCCAGATTGACAGGATTTTGTTCCTTTTGAAAATGGCTGTTTTCAAAGGAAACCAAGACTGAACAGGCTAAGAGTGCAGTTCTGTCAGCTAGAAACTGCACATGTTCATCTGTGGGAGGCAGCTGCAGGGGCCTTAGGCCCTGGATGGGGAGGACCACATGGCTTCAGCTTCCAGGCCCCGGTGGCATGGCCAGTGTCATTGCCAGCCCATATTCTATTCCTGGCTCTTTAATTTGGATCACACTCAGAAACAGCCCCATGTGACACCAACAGCATGTCTGCTGTTGCCTGTCTGGTCTGTGATCTAATCCAAGGGCTTCCTTTAAATTAAACTTCTCAATCTGATTTCCTAGCAACGGCTTGTCCCCAGGGTGGGACAAATCTCAACAGAGCTAGTCATTTTAATCATTTCAGTTAGTAGGTATTGTTTTGCTTTTTGTACATATGCCTGGTACAACAAAAAAAAACCTTCCTTTAGTTGTAATCAGTGGTCTGGATTTCATGTAGCTAATCAGCACCAGGAAAGAAGCCCTAAGTCCAGAGGGCACCTGAGAGGAAAGTGACAGATCCATGCAGGGAGGGCACAGAGTTCTGGCTCACTCCATTGCAGGTATCCCTGCAGGACAGAGCTGGCTGGGGCGCGTTCACCTGAGTCTCGACCCCAGCTCCTCCTGAGGGTGCAAACCTTGGCTGGACCCAGCTCCTGGTCCAGAGTGAGACCTTTCTCAGGCCCAGGCATTTCCTAGTCATTCTTGAGCAGCTGCTCCACATTCGAGTTCCAGCTAAGAAACTAGACTCTTTACTCAGAGGATACAGAGACTCCTGCTTGAGTACCTTCCCGGCTGGCTTTAATCTGATCTAAGGCAATGGTCAACATTCATTCTCCCCAAAGAAAAGCCCAAGGGTGGCCTGTGACTCTCGAAAGTAGAGCTGCTGGATAGCCAGGCAAGGTTACACGACACGGCACACCTGGAAAGCCTCCGCGCAACCTTCTCTGTGCTGATCCAAGGAGCCGGCGTCCTTGGTCCTCCCGTCCTTCAAGTCCGTGCATCTCTCCCATTTGTTTCATTCTGGAATGTTCAGACTAACCCATCTCTGGGTTAGTTAGGCTATGGCAGGCTAAGCTGCTGTAACACAGGGAGCCCTGTGGGGACACTCACTTGATGATGAGGATGACCACCACAACATGGAACAGGATGCAGTACAATTTCACCACCTGATGGGTCACCAGGGCAAAGCCACCTGCAATGAGCAGGCAGCTAAGGAAGCAGCGCTCGGAAACTGCGGGTGCCCGAGCTCAGGGTGCCCTCCTGCACCCCAAGGTCACTAAGCAGGACACGCCGCCCCAGGGGCAGGCGCCCAGACCACCAGCTCCCCAGAAAGGCGATCGTGCCACTGGTTCACCACCGTGAGCTCCTCCAGCAGCATGGAGGAAGCGGCCAGATCACTGAAGCTGTTCTTGCAGTGCCTGTCCCAGCCAATGCCACCCCTTCAAGGGCGGGTCGCCACACAACAGTGCTTCAGTGAAACTCGAGTCAAAGGACCGGATTCTGTCACAGAACAGTTCCATCCTGATGACAGCAAACGCATAGTAGACCACCTAGGGTGGGAGGCGCTGGACACCAGGGGGCGCCCAAAGTCGCAGAAGCAAGGGGCATGGAGCGCTAGACGCACCCAAGTTCCCACAGAAGGGCAGCGGTGTTCCCAAGGATGGTGGCCTCTCCAGCTCAGAGCCACGCAGCTTAGGGGAGTGAGTGGGAAGGGATCGCTGCTCGGCCGGTCCGCAGGAGAAGCCTGGGTAGTTGGTGGAGAGATTAAGGCACAGCCAGGTGGACCCCCCTGGACCTCCCAGGACATTTACCAAGTCAGAAGCTAAGCTGCTGGCAAGGCAGCAGTGGGATAAATACCCACTAAACATAGATTAGTCCCCTAGTGAAGGAGAATTGAAGTTGGATCTTTACCTGTTCTTTACGCCAAAATTAACTGCAAAGGTACTAAAACAAACAAAAACCCATAAAGGTAACAAGGTGGAAAGCTGGGCAGTAAAAGGGCTTCCTAAGCATGATGTGAAACCTAGAAACTATAAAAAGATCAACAAGTCTGACTATATAATAAATTTAAACTTGTGTATAGCCGCACACCCCCCCCCCCAAAAAAAAAGACTGGGGAGAGGGGAAAGTGATAGATAAGGAAAAGTCATTGTCTTATGCATAGATTAACACAGACCTGTCTCCTTAATAGGCCAAAGAGTCCTACAAATCATATCAAAAGTAAAAGTACCAGCTGGGCATGCGGGCACACGACTAAAATCCCAGCAGCAGCTCAGGAGGCTGAGGCAGGAGGATTCCAAGTTTAAAGCCAGTCTCAGCAACTTAGTGAGGCCTGAGCAACTTAGCAAGACCCTGTCTCAAAATAAAATATGAAAAGGCTGAGGATGTGGCTCCATTCTTAAGCACCCCTGGGATCTCTGGTACCAAAAACAATAACGCTAATAATAAAAGTGAAGGTAATAGAGAAATAGAACCACGGATGTTACTGGAAATATGCATAAATGGCCAAAATCACATGGAAAAGATGCTCAGCCTCATGAGCAACTAAAGCAATGCATGTCAAAATAGCATGGTGCTATTTTCTCATCTATCAGATCTAGGGAGAATGGAAACAGTGAATAAATCCATCTGTGAGCAGAGAAACAGATACATCACACACGTCATTTGGAATCCATACGAGAGCATGTTTGTGAAAGCAAGTTGTCACTATCAATCCAAATCATGAACCCATTTACCTTTGCTCACCTCTAGGAGAGCACCCAACACTCACACTCGTGTGAGGACACAAAGATGCATGCCCGAGGATGGCCTTACCACAAGGTCTCTGAAGGTGAAAGGCAAGCCCACCCACTGGTCAGTGGTGTTCTAGAGTCTTCTATTTTGGGGACATGTCTCTCTCTCTCTCTCTCTCTCTCTCTCTCTCTCTCTCTCTCTCTCTCTCTCTCTCTCTCTTGGTACTAGGGATTGAACCCAGGGGCACTTAACCACTGAGCATCTTAGAGACTGTCCTTTATGGAGCCTAATGATCCTCATCGGGGAATGAGGCCAGGGTCCTAACTGTGGTTAGTGTGAGGACACCGTGGGTTCAGCAGAGGGAAAGAAGGACAAGGGAAACTCAGAAGTCCCTTCATGGCCCCTGGAGTTAGAGGACTTACCCCTTTGCACCTGGGATCAGGAGACCTCATTTCCTTGAGGACACGCAGACTCAGGGGTAGGTCTTGAGTGTGGGGTCCTTACTGGGGTCCAGGGCTGTTGTTAGCCACCAGCAATGACAGTGCTCTCCATACTCAGTGGAGCCATTTTTGCCAGGAAAGAGAGCCCGTGGTCACGCCTTGTCCAAAGCATCCCACGCCAGGGGCTCCCATCCCTAGCACTCCTGTCCTGAAAGGAAGCCCCTCAGAGGCAAGGTGGGTCCAACCACCTCCCATGTGTTCACTCATCACCGTGTTCCAGCAGTCACCCCAGTTAACAGTCCTGATGGGACTGGATGTGGCTCAGAATGTCACCCTCATGAGCTCTACCCTGCTCCAGCTGCAGTTCTGCAGTGGGAGAAACACAAAACCTCAAAACACATGCACAGGAATGAAAAGAGCAAGAGCCAGAGCCCAGACAGGCCAGGTGTGGCAAGGACAGCTGGAGTGCCTAGGTTGGGACTCAGAATTATGTCAGTGGGGTGGCATTGCTGCTGGCACCAGCATGATAACAGAGAGCCAGGCCTGCTCATTTTGGGGAGCAGTGTGTTGGGGAAGGCAGCAGAAATTGAGAGGCAGGATTGAGTTTGGCCCTAGGAGGAGGTTGGGTAAAAGGCCAGTGTGGGTTGGAGGGCCTGGGCAGATAGAGAGAGGCCAGGGCACACCCCAAAGCCTGGAGACTGCACTTGATGTCCAGGGTTGTGAGACACCACCTCCCCTCTTACTCACAACTGAGAGCAAGAGGCATTGATCAGTTCAGTTTGTGTGCGGCTGCATCCAAGGTGGCTCGGCTAGGCACCTCTGTTTCCTTGACTCAGGAGGCTGGGAGTCCAGGCTCCACTGAGGCTCGGCTGGGAGGATCAGAGTCTGAGTTCATGCCTGTGTTCCTGGTAGGATCCATGTTGGCTAGCCTCAGTGTTTTTGTAATGAGAGGATGGGTGACTGTCATGTCTTTATCACAGGACACACTTGCTAAATGGATTTGTTTGCTCTGAGGAGGAAAGAGAGAGAGGGAAGTGGTGCTGGAGACAGGGATGCAGACAGGGGTCATGGACTTGGCATAACTCAGTCTTGGAGATGACATCCCATCACCTATACCCACTTCAATTCCCATGAATCCAGAGGCTGAGCCCCTTGAGGTGAGGGGTGAACTGGTTCTGGCAGCAGGATGCTGTGGTACCTCGGAGTCTCTGTGAGACCCCAACACTCGACGCACTTGGGCCCTTTGGAATTCTTAGGAGAAGCCTTGGGAAGTTGTAGGGCAGAGGGGAGCAGCCTCTGCATCTCAGTCGCCTCCAACTTGCCATGGTGCAGAGTGGGAACTGCAGCCAGGATGGGACGGACGTTGGCCACGTCCCTGTGTGGGACACAGGCCTGATTGAGTTGGGGTGCATTCTTTGTCTCTCCGCTTCTTGTGATTGTCCCATCTCTACGTTTGTGCTTTAGCCACCTGTGAGTCCCATCTCTGGTTTCAGAGAGCATAGAGGCTGTTATGGGCCAATAGACACAATAACCCTAGAGATTAGATGCTACCCTGCTTTCCAGAAAAGACTGGGCACGCCATGAGTTGCACAAGGATGAGACCAGGGTCCAAAAGCTGCTGAGAGGGAAGGACTGGTTGTGAATGCATTTTTGAAGGCTCCAAGCTGGAACTCTAGTGGCACCAAGCAGGGCAGATGCTGGTGGGGGTATTTGGGTAGTTGTTGGTGAACACATGCGCACCTTATATGGGTAGGCATGGAGGAGAAATCAGCAGCCCATAGGGCTTTTGAAAGTGGTCTTATGTGAAAAGAGGCTCAGGTATGGGCACAGGAAATGACATCATCGCCTTGACAATGGATCAAACAGAACATGGAACCCTGGTATCCAGGCACCCACTTCACTGACCAAGCCATCCGAGCTCATTTGGTTGGAGACACTGAAGTGAGAAGGATGTTCTCCTGTGGTTGCAAACAATGCCGAACCTCAGGCTCCCAGGAATCTCAGGGGGGCCCACCAGCCCTTTTGTGGATACACTGGGTGAGGCTTCATCTTAGATGCCAGAGCCTCTGGCGATTGTCGCAGAGGAGCTCAAGAGTAACAGTGAGTAGCACAGGGCAGGGGAGCCCAGCAGGCCCTCTATTCTGATCCCTGATGAATGGCCCAGGACTCCTATTCTGACTGCGTGTGTGTGTGTGTGTGTGTGTGTGTGTTTGTACTGATGGGAACTGTCCCATTGTGCTTTGACTCTAGTGTATTGGCACAAGGCATTTTTCTGTTTGTCACCATTTCCATTTTGAACCCACCATTCTTGGTCCCAACCCAGGGTGAAAATGATCAGAACACGGAGGAGCCCTTCAGGGTACAGAGCCTTGAATCTTCCAGGCAGGACCAGCTTAGGAATGAGCTCCTGCCTGACATTTGTGGGAGGAACCTACATTTCCGCAGCAACATGGGGTTAATCTCCTGGGATTTCATCCCCACCCAGCAGGTGCTGGATCTCTTGTTCCCAAGGTAAGCACCAGACCACGAAGCCCAAGTGTGTAGCCCCCTCATGCCTGGGTCTTGGGGCTGCCATGTACCTCTCAGGGACCCAAAGGTTTGTGATACCTAGTGAGATAGAGGACCAGGCTCATAGTGGAATGTCAGCCCCGAGTGGGACGAGTCCTGGAGGTGCCTGCCACAGCCTTGCAAGGGGAGTGAACTCCCCCCTCTCAGGCAGAGAAACCATCCTGACTCCAGCTGATCCACAGAGGTCCGTGGAGCAGTCCCCACACACTGGGCACCACAGCTCAAAGGTATGCGCTGAGCTCATTCCCAGGTGGACTCAGTGAGGCCAGGTGGTCTTTCTGGTGTGATGTTGGCTTCGTGAAGAAAGTAGATCTGTGCCAGAGGCGTCTCAAAACTCGGGCCTTGGGCAAAGCACTTTTGGGTTAATAAAGACATGTTAGTTTCCATAGTGGGCCAGAGCTTCCTAGCTGGGACATAGCTGGACGGGGGCTTTGGAGATGGCAGCTCCCACAACCAGAGAGATATGTGGGAATCAGCAATTTGGGCTCATTCACTGATGAACAAGGAGAAAGCACCCACTGTGTGAAGACACGTTTCCAGTCACGTTTCATAATTCAGTGAAAAATGGGGTGCAAATGACTGCCATTGTGTCCCTTTTCATGGGGGTCAGCCTGAAACCGCAGGTGCCATGAGTACATATCCTACATGTGACAGCATCCCTGACTCCATGAGGCATAACTGCACGTTGTCCTCTTCAGTGAACATGGTGGACCCTGGACCAACTTCAACATGGAATGGGCTTGGGGTCAAGAGGGTGGGCTCCTGTTTCCAGAATAAGGACTTGCAAGGTGATTTGACTTGGGAAGGCTGAGGAAAGACTGTTCTCCCCAATTCTGTTTCCTGCATGCAGTGTAAGGTCCGGGGCTTCAGCAGTAGGAGGGGTAAGGCAGGGAGTTGTAGGTAGTCATGGTCCTCTGGGGAAGGCCCTGGGACGATGGATCCCCCCACACTACACCTCCCAGTCCTCCCCCAGGGCCACAGAGATGTGGTCTGCACTCATGGGAAAAGAGAGGTCCGTTGCTGCTCAGGGGGACTCAGTGAGTGCTCACAGAGAATGAGGTAGCATTGCAGCCCACGCCAGGGGAGGAGGTGTCTCTGGAGCCCTGAGAAGAGTGGGCAGGAGGACAGACACTCCTGGAAGGTGCATTCCAGGTTGGAGAGCACGTAGCCAAGAGGAAGAAGAGTGTCAGGCCTTCCCAGAGGAGGGGAGAGCTGGTCATACCATGGATCTAACGCTCCTTCGTTGAAGGTTGTTTGCCTCGCGACCTGTCCTGTCCCTGCCTGTACAGCCACTGTGACTTGTCTGAGGTTGACTGGTGTGTTCAGAACCAGGGAAGGTTCAGGAGTGTAGCGTCAGAGGTTTGCTCTGGAGGCCGTGGTGAAGGCAAGGCCAGGGTTTTGCTGACTCCCCTCCTGCCTCCCCACAGTGCCTCACCTTCCTTCCCGGGGACCTGGGTGAACTTCTACACCGAGGCTTCCCATCAGCCTCCAGGCTCTCTGAGTCTGCAGCTACTACTGCAATCCATGTGGCTCCTTCTGGGTGGCTTGAACCTGGAGCACGAAGCCCACCACCTGCTGGCCCAGACTGAAGATGGCAAATCAAGCCAGGCAGAGCCTGAGAGCCAGGCGGACTGGGGTGAGTACCCAAGGGTATATGAGGAAAGGTCCGACTGTTGTCCCACTGCGGGGAGTGTGTATGCCTGGTGTTGGGCTGGAAATGAGGATAAGCCTTTGTCCACTCAGGAAGTGACCCCAGTCTGCAAAGAGGTCCTGTGTGGGCTAAGGGCCTGAGTTCTTCCTGGCAGCAGGGGTATTGTCTGTCTGTGCGAAGGTCAGGGCAAGGCAGTCATGTTGGCATCGTTTCTCCTCTAGCTACAAGCTCAGTTCCTGTCACGGCTCCTAAGCCAACCCCAGAGCCAGAGCCTTCTCCCTGGGAAGGGGCAGAGCCGGAGTCCAGGACATCAGGGGTCTCCACTAGGAGCTCCTCACGGCCCCAGTACAACAAGCGGGTGGGAGGCAGCTGCCTCATTCACGTCTACCTGGAAAACGAAAGGACAACAAAGTATAAGAGCATCCTGGTGAGTCTTCGAGCAGGGGAGTCTCCTGGGAGCCCACACTGGGGAAGACCGAGTCCACAGCAAACACCTTGGACTAGGCCTGTCTTCTTGAATTGGAGCTTCTGAAAGGTCAGGAAGGAGAGCAGAAAATGAGGAAGAGAGAGTTCGGTGTTAAGAGCTTGACCTGAGAGGCGGGGAGCAGCAGCATGCCAGGTCTGGGTGGGAGTGGGCCTGCGTGTTTTGGGGTGTGCAGGCCAGAAGTGCAGGAGCGAGTGCTGGGTTCAGAGGAGGTCAGAGAACTATCGAGGGTACAGGCCGTCCTCTACCGACCTTGGTATTGAGGAGGAGTATATTGAACAGTGGAGGTTGAAGCAGAGGAGTTGGCAGTCATCTTCTTGTGTGTGGGAGGGGATACGTTGCTGGTTGAAGGGAAGGGAGCCATTGTGGGATGATTAGGGTGGGTAGGTGTGGGTCACAGACAACTGGGGGCCTTGGAGGGGTCCATTAGTGTCCTAGTTTGCATGTATGTGAATAGAGAGTTAGCGGCTCTCTCTGCAGAATTTTGCTGGGTGTGGAGTATCCATCATGAGACTCTGGTGTCCAGCTGCAGGGGAGTCATGTTGAACCACCTCACCTGCTGGGTCCATACCTCCTGACACCCCAGCAAGCACTGACACTCTTGAGGCCAGCAGCTTCCATGCCTATCATTAAAGAGTCCTGAGTGTGTGTTGTGCCCTGGCTGTCAGGACCAAAGCACCTAGGGATTGTTCCTGATCTGCACACAAATGCTGCTGCATCCCAGACCAGAGCAGGGATATGGAAGCTCACTGGACCCTACCTCCCATCTTGATGGGACTAGAGTGTGTCTGTGCAAAACCTGTTTGGTCCTTGTTCCCTTCTCCCTGTAGGGCATAGCAGGTTCAAGCAAACTCTTGTACCAAGATTGGGCTAGAAGCAGATAGGAAGACCCCACATGATCACATGAAGGCCTCAGGTAGCAGGGTAACAAGATGGTGCCCTTGTGTTGAGAGCTCAGTTGTCTCTGATTGTCCTTGAGCACTGTCCTCTGGGTAGCTACTCCCAAATTCCCTCTCTGATGCGCTTTCTCCAACCCTGCTCAGGTGACCTGCCAGGACAGGGTTCCAGTCATTATCCGCAGGGCCCTAGATGCACACTTGCTCCAGCAGGAGGATCCAGAAAACTTTGAGCTTCTGCAAATTGTCTCGAACCATCAGAGTAAGTGGAACAATCAGAGGGTAGGGAGCAGTGAGTCACAGTGGGCTCAGGATAACTGGGAGCCAAAACACAGTGTGCTTTGGCCCAATGCCCAGGAAGAGTATGGTGGGACTTGTGCGCGAAACAAAGTGTAATGATGGGGCATAAATCTGCAGGTTCTTCATGTTCCCCAGGGGCTGTGGACCTGCCTACCATGTGTTCTTTCCTTGATCTGAGGAGGCATTGCAAAGCTATTATCCATGAGGGGCCAAGAAGAGAGGCTCCTTTGTCTTGTGTCACAGAAGACAGACAACCACAGGGTGCCTACTTTGGCAGCCTTTCCTGACTGAGATGAGTACATGAGAAAAGCAGTTCAATGAAGAATCATTTCTGGCTTCCAATCTTTCTATTCATTGCAAACTGAGTCCACTTAGGACCAGAGGCCATTTCTAGAGAGAAGTGTGTGGTAGAATAGAACCCTTCACAGCTTGTAAACTCTTCTTGGAGAGAGAGAGAGAGAGAGAGAGAGAGAGAGAGAGAGAGAGAGAGAGAGAGAGAGAGAGAGAGAAAGAAGAAGAAGAAGGAGGAGGAGGAGGAGGAGGAGGAGGAGGAAGAGGAAGAAGAGGAGGAGGAGAAGGAGGAATAGAAAAATGAAATGAAAATGAGTTGAAGGAGGAGACAATGAACAAGAAGGTCAAGATGACTATAAGAAGAAGCATGAGGAGAAAATGAAGAAGGACAAGAACAAGAAGGAGAAACACAAGCCAAACAACTAATATAACAATAAATCGATTAAAACTGTGAATGAGAATTATACTGATGAGGAGGAAATGCAGAAGTGGGGAACTCAAGAGAAACATATTTCTCTGTATGGCACAGCCCTGCTGTGGACATCCTCCACCCACGCCCAACACACCTCCAATCCATACCCCTCAAATTAGCATAGCCCTGTATGAGTGGATGAATCCACTGGCAAGGTGGAGGCACCCACCTTCAAGTGCTTTTCCCCAAACCCACCTGTGATCATTGCTGCAGTGGGGAGAAAACCTTCAACACATGAGTCTTTGGGGGCCAATCCAGATGCAAAGTCTAGCTGTTTCTCTTTGGCAGGTTAACGTGAACTGAGAGGTTCTGGGGTGCAAGGGGCTATTTCCTTGAAAGGTGTTCCTGTAGTGGACCTCCTGTGCACAGAGGGTCCTCAGGGAGGAATCAGTGGGGAGTCTTTGGTGGAACAGTAGCTGGATTTGCGGGCTCTCAGGTCTGTGTGTGAGATCTGAGCTGGCAGAGGCTCTCAGTTGTGGGGGATGTTGGGTAGTGTCTTCCTTGAGTGTCACCTACCATGCCTCTGCCCCTGCCTCTCCAGAGCTGAGGATCCCTGCTGATGGGAACGTATATCACGCCCTGGATGGCAGAGTGGATTATAACTTTCTTCTTCGGGAAACAGCTGCCAGCAAGTGGTCCAAGGTCAAGCCAAAGGAGGTAAACAGCCACCTTCTTCAGTCTTTACTCCTGGTGCCAAGGTGACAAGAACCTCAGGTTCTGGATGGATGTTGTAGAACGCCCATAGAGCCAACTGCCAGGCTGGGTGGGGTGCAGGTGCTGGGCTTTGCTGATGTTGTCATCCCCCACAGTTCTTGGAGCCTTCTATGGCAGTGGCATCCGGGATCCCAGCAGCTGTGAGCAGCAGCTCTGCAGTGGCTGCAGGACCATTGCCCCAGGCCACCCAAAGCAATGAGTGCTGCATGAGAAAAGTCACCAGTAGCAGCTCCTCACTGTTTCACTCCAGCGAGCAGGTGGAAGACAGCCGCGTGGTTCACGTCCTCCTAGAGGGACAGAGCCCGAGGGAGACAAAGCGCATCCTGGTAAGCCCGACAGCAGGGCTGCCTCCTGGGTGTCCCCACAGTGGAAGGCAGGAGACACAGCCAACCCCGGGGCAGTCAGGACCAAAATTTTCAGTGTATCTCCCCCTTCCACCCACAAAGGCAGCCTGCATCCCAGAGCACACTTGGCACGCAGGTCCCTGGCCCATTGCTCTCATCTCAGTGAGATGAGAGTGTGTCTGTGCATAGGCAGTTTGGTCCTTTGACCTGAGTGGAATGTGACTCCCCAGGGGGAGGGGAGATGGCAGGTACAGGCGGACATTTGTACCAAGATTGTTCTAGTAGCACGTTGCAAGAACCCAGGGGGTATATGGAGGCCACACTCAGGTAGCAGGATAACAAGATTGTGCCCTTGTATATATAGCTGAGATTTCTCCTGAATGTTTGACCAGAATCTTATGGGTAGCTCCTCCAAAACCCATTCTCTGATGACATTTGTCCCACCCTGATCCAGGTGACCTGTCAGGAGAGGGTGACGAGCCTCATCCGCAGGGCCTAGGACCAAAATTTGTTGCAGCATGAGGATGTGGACAACTTTGAGCTGCTGAGAATGATGTCTCTGCATGAGAGTAATTAGGACAATCAGACAGTGGGGAGAAATGATCCACAGTGGGCTCAGGGTAACTCACAGCCAAGAGAAAGTGGGCGTTGGCCCCAAAATAGCCAGAGTGTGGTGGGCCTGGTGCAGGAAACCAACTGCAATGATGGGCGTGTCCAATGTGGAGGTGCTCAATGAGGCCCCAGGGGGCTGCTGGACCTCCCTACATGTGTTCTCCCCTGGACCTGGTCTGGCAATGCAAAGCTAATATCAATGAGGGGCAAGGAAGAGAGAGGCTCAATTGATCATCAGTTTGGTTTATGGCTCACTGATAAGGATGCCTTCAAATGAAGAGGAGGAGAACATGGGTCCTGATTGGATCAGCATTGCTATGGACGGAAGCAGCACAGGTCCCAATCCATAGCCAGGATATGAGAAGTCCTGCCTACTCACAAGAATGTCAGGATTGCAGCAACTGGGAACAGAACTCAGTGAAGAGGAAGTCAAGGCCAGGGGACACCTGTTTGGGTTCATTTTGGAAGAATTCCAAGTCCTCTGTGCCTGGGTTACCATCTCCTGAAGATATCAGAATGGCCAGGTTATTATTCGTTCCAGCAACTAAGAAGGGCATCTGAAGAACATAGGCCACAATGCTGAGCTGTCCACAATGCAGTGCTCTTTCCTTTCTTGTGAGCCAGACACTCCTAGCCTCCACCATCCCAGCCTGTCCACAATAGAACCCACCATCTGTCGGGCATGTAAGTGAGTTTTCTCATTTTCAAACACCACCTCATTTGGGTTGGCTCTGTCTTACACATGAGGAAGACTGCGGTGCAAGGAGCTAGCAAGGGGGCAGTGTCTGTGAATCTCAGGGACTTGGGAGGCTGCGCAGGAGGATGGGGATTTCCTAACAGCCTCAGAAACTTAGGGAGACCCTGTACCCAAGTCAAAAGGCCTGGGAATGGTCTCAGTGCTTAAGTGCCTCTGGTTTTATCCCTGGTACAAAAATAAGCCAGTCAATAAGGAATTACCCAGCTGAGATTCTACGAAGGTCATTTCAGAAACACACTTTCAACCCAAGCATCAGTTGAGAGCAGCTCCAGACCAGGGGAGGTTTGTGTGTAACAGACATCAAAAGTGAGGACTACCGGGGGCCTGGAACCCACTAGGTGTGATGGCATCTATGCCTTATGGCAAGAGGGTGGCAGTGATGCTGGCCCTCTCCTAGATCTTGAAAACCTTGTTTTCATTGGGGAAGCTTTTTGGAGGGGGAATCTATTTTAGCAATCCTGGTCCAAATGAGGTGTTGACTACCACAGGTAGAAGCCTATCCAGAATGCGGTGTCTGTTATTCAGTCTTTCCTGACTGTGACAATGACAAAGAAAGGAAGTCACTTTTCTTTGGTCTTGGTTTCACTCCCGACCATTGATTGAGAACTGATTTCATCTTGGGGTTCTGAACCGAGGCTGCATCTGGGCAGAAGAGTGTGATAGATTTGAACTCCTCAGAGGACGCCCAACCATTGCCAGAGAAAGAAGGAGGAGGAGGAGGAGGAGGAGAAAGAGGACATTCCTGAATGGGGAGAAGATCACACATTGAAGAGCAGGAGGAAGAAGAAGAAAAGGAAGGAGGTGAAACAGAAGGAAGGGTGGAGGGAGATACACAAGAAGAAGAACAAGAAGGAATCATGTAAGAACAAGAAAAAGACCCAGAAAGAACTACAAGAAGATGCAGGACAGAAAGAAGAGCCAGAAGTAGAACAAGAACCAGAATACAAGCACCAAGCAGACAGCTCATGATGAGAAACAATGGGAAGGAGAGCGAACCTAGAAAACTATAGAGTTCTCCAGGGATCACCCTGCTGAAGTCCTCCCATGTCCATGCCCAACACACCTCTGATGGATACCACCTCCCCTCCGCGTATTCATCCATAAGTGGATTCATCCAAGGATTCCCTGAATGCCCATGTCTGAGCATGGCTGCACTGTGGAGAAAGGCTTAAGCACAGGAGCCTTTGCCAATCCTGATGCAAAGCCTAGCAGTGTCTCTTTGGCAGATCTGACCTGCACTGAAAAGTTCCGGGGCCCAAGGTGCTGTTTCCATTGTCAGGTGCTCTTTTGGTTTAGAATCCTGTACATCATCTTCTCCAGGGAAGAATCATTGAGGGAGTCTTTGGTGGCACTGTAGCTGGATTGGAGGGCTCTCAATTCTGGTGCAGGCCCGCCCTGGTGGAGACTCTCAGGGGTTGGTGGTGTTTTGTGGTATAATCCTTGAGTGCCACCTAGCAATTCTCTCCACTTCTCTCTGCAGAAATCAAGGTCCCTGACCACTCACTCATGTATCTGTCCATGAATCCGCGAATAAAATATCATTTCATAAAAAAAGTGAGGAAACACCCCCAGGTCAAGGGAAAGGAGGTAAACTCCCACCTTATTCAAGCTGTACTTGTGCTGCCATTCCACTTCCACCTGGGGAAATAAGAAGCTTCATCACCTAGACATATGTGCTAGAAGCCCATAGAGCCAACTGACAGGCTGGGTGGCTTTCTGTTTCTGGGCTTAGCTGATGTTCCATCCCCCACAGTTCTCAGAATCAACCTGCAAGTCCTCCAGGCCGCTTTCCCACAAGCTGGTGGGAGACACCTGCTTAATTCGTGTCCACTTAGAAACACAAAGTCCAAAGATGGCCAAGACTGTCCTGGTAAGCCTGGGAGCAGGGGTGTCCCCTGGTGCTTCCACCTGGGTGGGGAACAGACACTGGCCCAAGACCATGGACTACTCATGCCCTCTTGAATTTGGAGCTTCTGGATGATCAGGAGGATAGACGGGAATCAAGAAGGGAGAGGTCAGTGTGAAGGGCCGGAGCTGAGATGAGGGAGAGCAGCAGCTTGTCCACCGCCATGTCTGAGGGAGTCTGTGTGTCGGGTGGAAGCATGCAGTCTGGAAGGGCAGGGGCAGGTATGGGTGACAGATGAGACTAGGACAGGACCTAGGCTGCAGGTTCCCCTGTATGGGATGCTGGCGTCCATGGAGGAGGACAGCAGTATGAGGTTCTGCATGTTCCTTGAACAAGGAGCTGACAGGGTCTGTCTGCAGAGTCGATATGGATGTAGAGCAAGCGCACTAAATGTCCAGGTAACCTGCAGGACAGGAGCCCTCTCCAATGACCACCCTTGCCGGATGAGGTGTCCTCCTACACCCCAGCCAGCACTCAGCCTCTGGAGGCCAGGAGCTCTCGTGGCTATCTTTCAGCACTCCTGTGTGTGGTCATGTTCCTGGGTCTATTTTGGGCCCTGGCAATCCAGACCAAAGCCTCTAGGTTTTGTGCCGGGGCTACCCCAAATGCCGCCTGCATCCTCAGGCAGACCTGGGATCTTGGAGGCCACTGTCCCATTCCTCCCAACTTGTGGGATGAGATTCCATGTGTATACAGGTAGTGGGGTCCTTTCACCTCGAGTGGAGTGCGGCTCCACAAAGAGCAATGGCAGGTCCAGGCAGTCCTATGTACAAGGATTGGCCAGTAGCTTATGGGAAGAGCCCACGCGATGAGCAGGAGGCCAGCCTCAGGTGGTAGGGTCATGGATGTTGCCTTTGTATTTAGAGTTGAGGTGCCTCCATAATGCCTCTGCCCACTGTCCTTGAGTAGTCACTTCAAGGCCCATTTCCTGAAGGCCTGTCTCCCATGCTGCTCCAGGTGACCTGCCATGATAGGGCTCCTGTCGTCATCCGCAGGGCCCTCGAGCTACACTTGCTTACTCAGGAGAAGCCGGAGGAATATGAGCTGGGCCAAATCATCTCTCACCGTCAGAGTAAGTGGGACAATCAGATGGCAGGGAGCAAGGGTCAGGATGTGGACTCAGGTCAACTCTTAGCACCAAAGAGTAGTCTCTGACCCCCAAGAACACTCCAACAGGGTGTGTTGGGGCTCGTGCACAAAGCCAACTGCACTTCTGCAGGTTTAAGGTCTCGAGGTTCTATGGTATACCCCAGTGGCTATTGCGGCCCCCTACCAGGTGCCCTCCTCTGGACATGAACAGGCATCCAAAGCTGACATCATTGAGGAGTGAGGAGGAAAGCCTCTTCCCAGGAGCCGTATGGCTCCGTGGTCTGGGATAGGAGTGGTTTCAGAGGGACATGGGAATGCATGGGCTAAAGATGGAACTGGCACTTTTGTGGACTGAAGCAGTACTATTGAAAGCCTTCTTTGTGACCAGAAAACCACTGCCTGGGCAGAGTAGTGCCAGGATTCTAGCAAGCAGTAACTGGATGAAATTGGAAAGAAAATACAGGCTGGGAGACAGCCTGAATCATCTGTTTTTGGATAAATTCCATGGTCTTCTGCACCTGAGTCCACTTGCCAAGGAGTGATCACCATAGCCAGGTTAAGAACCCTAACTAAAGTCACATGAGGGCTTCCTGAGCACGTCGGCCACAAAGCTCATCTGATAATAATGCCAGAGCTTTTTGGTTGGTTGGTTGGTTGGTTTTTGTGAGCCAAACACCACAGCAGCCATGATCCCAGCCTATGTACGCTGAAGACCACCATCCCTATGAGTTCTAGGATCAATTTTCTCCTATCTTAACGTACTGTTAGGTCAGTAGAGCCTTTGGAAGAGGAAGTCTGTCTGAGGCCTTGGTAGCCTAAGAAATTCATAGCAGAGATCCCCGCATCCAACCCAGAAGGGATGGAGAACAGGCTGTAGGTTAGAGGAGGGTGGCAGGAAACAGGTGTCAGAGGAAGGAGAAGCTGGCTGTTGTATTCCCCCACTCGGGGTCATGGCACCACTGGACCATACACCATGTTGGAGGGAAGCATTCCCTTTGCTGGTCTTTGGAACCATTGTTCTTAGTAGGGCAGCATTTGGGATGTGGCCTCCATTCTCAGAGGCTGGTCCACATGGAGGCGGGCTCCACCAACACAGAAGCATGGCTCTAATGTGGTATCTGTGCTGGTCAGCCTGTCCTCACTGTGGCCATACTTGAGGAAAATAACTCAGAAGAGGAAGCCTAGGCCTTTTCTCCGGGTTTCATAGCTTTCTCTTCGGTTGTGCCCTGAGGGTCTCCATAACGCTCTAGTGTGTGGCAGTGGAGAGCTCCTCAGCCCTTGCCAAACAGGCATAGAATGGGAGAGAGAATGAGGCTGGGAGAGAGGAAGAAGAGGGAAAGACAGAGAGGAGAAGGAGGACCTCTACTTGGAGGTTGAGGATTCAGTGGAGCCAACAGGGCCAAGGTACTATTGCCCAGGGCGCAACCCTGTTTAGGTCTTCCTCCAACCTTACCCAACCTTTCTTCCAGTCCCTCCTACCTCCCAGTAGTATGTTCATCTTGAATGAGAATTTCATGATGACATCAGAGCACTCACCATCGAATGCTTCCCTCCAAAGCCACCTATGAAGATGGCCCATGTGGGGTCTGAATCTTTGGCACAGGAGCCTTTTGTGGGAGATTTCAGATGCAAACCCTAGTGGTGTGCTTTGGCAGATGCAAGAGGACCTGGGATGTTCTGGAGTCCAAAGCCTTTGGTAGGAACAGACATTAGGTCTGTTGAAGTGCTCTGCCTAGTTTTTCCTCAGGGAGGACTGTGGAGGCTGTCTTTGTTGGTATTGGTGCTGAATTGGAGAGCTCTCAAGGGTGTGGCTCAGGTCATTTCTGGCACAGGCTCTCAGATGTTGGGGTGTCCTAGGGAGCACCTCCTGAGTGCCACCTTCTTTTTGTACACCCCTCTCTCCCCAGAGCTGAGGATTCCAGCGCAGGCCAATGTATTTTATGCAAAGAACCCTCACACAGAACCCAACTTTGTGCTGAGGAAAAGGAGCCTCTCCCAAAAGAATGATGAATGGATCCAGCCTCAACCTCCCTCTCGTCCTGCAAAGAAGGCTCCAGCCCTCCTGAGGATGCTTGCAAAACCATTCTACTGCTGTGTGCCTGGGCGGGGCTGAGGCAGCCCGGGAATATTTACATTGATTACTATTTGCTTCAAAGTTTGAACCTATAGTTTGCCATTGTCCTTGACCTTGTTTAGTAAGACAGTTGTTACTCTATCCTGTATTTGCTGTTTCCATTAATATATTATTATTTTAAAATATATATATTTTTTGTTACCTGATCTACTCTGATGATTTGAGTATATTAATGTAGCCGTGATTCCTAAAGGACACATCCAAACCAACAGGAAGGAATGTTTCATTCTATCAGCAAGAACTTTAGTTTTTAGGAGTATGGCAGATGGCATTATCTGAGTCAGTTTTCCAATGGGGGCAATGAAGTATTGGCTATCATGATACAAAAACAAAGACACACAAACACACACTAGAGCACACACACACACACATACACACACACTAGAGCATACACACACACACACACTAGAGCACACACACTCACTGAGAGATAGATAGACAGATGGAGTTGGTCTCTCCTGAAATACTTTGGAGACGTGGTTCTGATTTCTCCCATTTTAGAGTATTTTCAATTGCATAAGGTGTCCTGCAAATGAATCCCATGTCTGAAGAAGACATGCATGTGTACTTCACATGCCACTTTTCACATAACCAGAAGGTCATGTCATGTAATATTTTTCTTGCAGCTGTGTTTTGACTGTGAACCATCCCATGAGGTCAGCTGTAGAATTTTCCACTGGTAGCATCACAATGGGGAACCACTCTTTGGATTTGGGGATATTTCTGATTTTCTTGATTCAGATTGCAATGATTGAGATATATATATATGGTTTTTGATCAAAATTGTGCATTTGATGATAATGAATGCCATGCATCTAGGAATCTGTAGACTC